CTTCCATCACCTTATGACGAGAAATTACAGAGTTGTAGATGATTTAGTCACATCTTAAAAATATTGTTATGCACAATCTCACACAGTAATGCGAGATGCCACACTCAGATTATTTGCTGTAAATGACTCTCAGCTACTGCCATGTCAAGTTGTATTAAAATATCTGTGTTTGACTGAGTTACAGCCGTTTGTGTGTTGGCTAATATCGATTAGCTGCGGCTGCCATCTTGAGTTAGAGTGACTCGAAAAATAATTTATTGTAGATGTTCATCCAATGAAGAATTTCTGAGAGTTTCATTGACGTCTGTTCAGTGGTTCATGAGATATTTTGCTAACAGACATACAAGGTTGACTCCGATAGCTGATGCTAAAATTTCGTGCCAAGATCCTTGGCATTGAGAAGTGCCTAAAGTCTGGGTTGTGAACGATTCTCAGCCACATTTAACCCATATTTTAGCGCAGCATCTGTAAAACTGACTGAAGTTTAGCCATTTTTGCCCTTTCCAAGGTCAGTTGGCAGTGGCGGCCATCTTGAACTGGGTTGACAGTCAAAGTTGTCTCCAACCAGTCAAAATTTGAAACCAAGATGTAGAATGTGTTAGCACTCAGAATGTCCATTAAAATAAGTGAATTAGACATTTGTGTGTTTTTTAAGGTCAGCTGTGGGAGTCATTTTGAACCAGCTTGACTCTATAAGTCAGTCGTTCCCAACCCTGGTCCCTGAGGAACACCATCCTGCATGTTTTAATTGTTCCTCTGCTCCAACACACCTGATTGGAATGAAAGGGTGATTAACAGGCTTCTGCTGAACTTAAGGAAGTAACTAAATCACTGAATCAGGTGTGATGGAGCAGAGAAACAACTAAAACATGCAGGATGGTGTTCCTCAAGGACCAGTGTTGGGAACCACTGTAATACGTTATTATCTGCACATCTAGTGATTACTTTTTGCAAGTTTCATCAAAAGTTGTCCAATGGTTTGTGAGATTTTTAATTTGCTAACAAACAAATACACACACAGACAATGACCAAAACATCATTGTCTTCTTCCTATCAGCGATGGGCGACAGCAGGGGGTGAGACAAGACTCCCAGACATGTAGGTGCAGCAGAGAAGCCAGGGCAACATGTCTCTAAGTGACGCGCCTCTGACACACCAAAGGCAGGAAGATGTGGTTAGCTGTTCTGTAGCGTAACGGAGCGGGGCAGGAAGATGTCACAGAAACTGAGCTGTGGCAATCCCATGCTGAAGGCTTTCTGATGAAGCTCTCTGGTTTGCACAGCCACACTGAGTTTGTTCCTAATGGAGGAGGTTTCTCTGCAGTCTTTGTACTCTAGTTCCACGGAGCGGGTGGAAATAGGCCCAGTGTTTTATCTTTGACGTGTGGGGTGAAGCTTTTTGAGGAAACAAACCTGTGTGGTCTTACATAAAGTCTGCTGGAAAAATCACAATTTTATTTTGTAACTTTTTCCCCCCCACTCCTATTTTACACCTTTTCTTTACCTGTTTGGTGGAAATTATACTTTAGTTTTATCAGAAAGGGGAAAAACAAACGCAGTATCAATGGTTTGGGGTGCAAAGGTGAGAAGATACCACAATGGAGAATCGGTTTAATATGAAAGTGGTAAAATTTGCATTTTTATGATGAATTGCATGTAACATTTATTTTAATACTCCTGCTCTTTTGCCTTAGATATTTCTAAAATTGGATTTACTACTACTGCTAAACTAATGAGACTAAAAGCTTATTTTATTCAGGCAATTTAAAACCACATCCAAACATTTTTTTAAATAATTATTTTGATAAAAACACAAAACCAAGTGGTTTACGAAAAAAAATTTTTTTTCTTATCAGTGTTGAGCTGGTCACATTAATCCATCAGCTGAGCTACAAAAAAATATATAATTTAAAAATGTGTTTTAATCATTTTTTGTTGGTAAAAATGATCAAATATAATGTGGCTACTGCTTTCCGGAAGCAAAAAACAAAAGAACAACAACAAAAAAAAACAAACACTTTTGCTCTCTAAATATTTAACAATGAAAATTTTGACTCATAAAATGTTACTGTTTTAAAGCCATAAAGTAAATGTAATTAACAGTTTGTTGACCAAACATGGCCAGTTATTTCTATCTCATGACTGAAGTACAGTCCTGTTAAAAATGTGTATCTAATAATTATATTTAATGACTTATTATTAATAGTTAAAAGAAAGCACAGTTTTTTTTTAAAAGACTGCTTTCAGATATATGGGGGTATAGCACCTCCTAAAATATGGCAGTCATTTTTACTATTTAAGTAAAGTGAAATAAAAAGAGTAAATATGGGTTCATCTTTTCACTTATTACAGTTAAATCTACCATCTATTTGGTGATTTGTTAGTAATATTTGTTTAAAACCTCCATATCTGCTCATATCCTCCTTGTTTTAGGCTTTAAGTATCTATCTTTGTGACTTTCTTGGGTCTTCCATAAAATAAGTTGTTGACTTTTATGTGCCTGGCCTACCCAGGACCACTTTTCAGGATACTGAAACATTTTTCTAGAAATATTCAAGCTTACTTTTATTATAAACCCTGCATTTTATCACAGAGCATTTTAAAGATAATATGATGTCATCTGGGGGCAGCACGGTGGTGCAACTGTAGAGCTGCTGCCTCTCAGTGAGCAGGTCCCCGGCTCGAATCCCAGTCTGGAGGTCTTTCTGGGTGGAGTTTGCATGTTTTCTCCCTGCATGTGTGAGTTTTTTGCAGGTACTCCGGTTTCCTCCCACAGACCAAAAACATGCATGTTAGGCTGATTGGTAACTAAATTGTCCCTAGGTGTGAGTGAGAGTGAATGGTTGTTTGTCTCATTTGTCTCTATGTGTCCCTGTGAAGGACTGGAGAGTGGAGACCTGTCCAGGGTGTACCCCACCACTCGCACAGTGATTGGTGGACATGGGCACCGGCGTGCCCCGTGACCCAAAAATGGAAGAAGCGGGTAAAGATAATGGATGGATGGAGGACGTCATCTGTGTGACAGTTCAGTTGAATTGTTTAAATTGAACAAGATAGTGAAACTCAGCAAATGAGCAAGGCATTAATCACAAAGATAAAACAAAGGTTCAAAATATTGGTTTGGGCACCAACGGAATACTGAGGTGGGGGTGAGGGATTGAAACAGGTAATGTGTGCAGGAACATCTTTCAAATAAAAAACAGAAGAAAAACAAGGACAGAAAAATGAACAATATATACATACA